TGCTGGGCTCCAGCGATCCTTCCACCTCAGCCTTCCAAGTAGCTGGAACTATAGGCGCGCACTACCATGCCTGACTAATTTTTGATTTATTGTAGAGATGAGGTCTCGCCAAGTTGTCCAGGCGGGTCTTGAACCCGCGGGCTCAGGCAATCCACTCACCTCAGCCTCCCAAAGGCGCGAGATTACAGGCTGAGCCACCGAGCCCGGCTAAAATTAAGAAATTTATTTTCCAGACCTCTATAGTGAGTGACGAAAAAACCTCTACAGTCAGTGACAATCAATACATTAACTACAAAATTGTAACAACTACTAAGAGGAAAATATCTATAGGAATCCTGACTTTATTTATTATTTACAGGCAGTGTTTCACTGTCATCCAGGCTGGAATGTAGTGGTGTGAAAATGGCTCACTGCAGCCTTTAATTCCCAGGCTCAAGCAATCTTCCTGTCTCTGCTTCGTACCCAGCTAATTTTCTTTTTTTCTTTTTTTTAGAGATGGGGTCTCGTTATATTGCCCAGGCTGTTCTCGAATTCCTGGCCTCAAGCAATCCTCCTGCTTTGGCTTCCCAAAGTGCTGGGATTACAGGCATGAGCCCACATGCCTCACTGAATCCTGACTTTAAAATGACTTCTCAGGCCAGGCACAGCGGCTTACACCTGTAATCTCAACACTATGGGAGGCAGAGGTAGGAGGATCACTTGAGCCCAGGAGCTGAAGACCAGCCTGGGCAACACAGCAAGACATCATCCCTACAAAAAATTAAGCCAAGCTTGGTGGCATGTGACTATAGTCTCAGCTACTTGGGAGGCTGAGATGGGAGAACTGCCTGAGACCAGGAGGTCAAGGCTGTGGTGAGCTGTGATTGAGCCACTGCACTCCAGGCTGAGTGACAGAGTGAGACTCCAACTCAAAAAAGAAAAAAAAATAGACTTCTCACTCAGGTGCAGTGGCTCACTCCTGTAATCTGTGTACTTTGGGAGGCTACGGTAGGAGAACTGCTTGAGCCCAGGAGTTCTAGATCAGCCTGGACAACAAAGTGAGACCTTGTCTCTATAAAATTTTTTTTTTTTTTAATTAGCCAGGTGTGGTGGCATGCACCTGTAGTCCCAGTTACTTGGAAGGCTGAGGTGGAAGGATCACTTGAGCCCAGGAGGTTGAGGTGCAGTGAGCCATGATGGTGCCACTGCAGTCCAGCCTGGGCGACAGAGTCAGACTCCAATTCAAAAAAAAAAAAAAAAAAAAAACCCGCCAGGCTCAGTGGCTCAGCCTGTAATCCCGCGCCTTTGGGAGGCTGAGGTGAGTGGATTGCCTGAGCTCGCGGGTTCGAGACCCGCCTGGGCAACTTGGCAAGACCTCATCTCTACAATAAATCAAAAAAATCAGCCGGGCGTGGTAGCACATGCCTGTAATTCCAGCTACTTGGAAGGCTGAGGCGAAAGGATCGCCGGAACCCAGCAGGTCGAGGCTGCGGTGGCCGGGAGCGGCCACTGCACTCCAGTCTGGGCGACAGAGACTCCAAATCAAAAAAAAAAAAAATCCAAAAATGTATTTATTAAACATCAAAACTGTGAAATAGATAAAGACAGGCCATCATTAGTACATATGGCATATCTACCAAGTACTCAACTCTAACAGAGTAGTTATATGGAATGTTACCCAAAAAGAATTTGGGAGGCAGATGGGCCTCAGCAGCCTGTTTTGTGCTGTCACCTGACACACAGAGGGAGGCCCAAGGTTCTGCTTACTCCAGAAGCCATATGCATTCCTACCTTGAGTACGTGGTACCAGACCGAGGTGCCGCCAAAGTCAATGTGAAAGTCTGTATAGCTATCCCGCACACTCATGAGGCAGTACTTCTGTACATTGGGTCTCTCAAAGACACACTCCTCTGGCCACAAGTTCTCAACCCATGACAGCTTCCGAACAATTTTTGGTGTTTCCACAAGGTTAGAAAGCCTAGCAAGGAAGGGGTAGAGAACAGATATCAGCTGATTGGGAACTTGAGGTTGAAGCCTGAATAAAACGTCAGTGAGGGTCAGACAAGACAGAAAACAGGTTCCTTCCAAAGAATCCCCAAAGGCACACAGGACACTCATTTCTGTAAATATGATCAGTATCCTCATTCAACTCAGCTCTAGAAGTATGAAGTCCCAATTCCACAGTTTTTCACAGTTGAAGGTGGTCATTTCTTCGACTGAATGCTCATACATTCCCATCTCACCCAGTCTACTCACTTGGTACTTGGATTATAAACATTATTGTATTATCCCCATCTCATAAAGTATCTTCTTTATGAGAAATCACTAGAGAAACTCTCAGGGCTCAGTTCCTGGGAAAGAAGTGTTTCTCTGATACATCGGGCTGTTTTTATCCTATGTTAAGTCACAAATCTTAGAATATCGCACTCCCCTGTTTGTTCTGGCCTTCAGGAAATTCCCTGAAGACTCTACAGTCCATCTCTACCAACTAGTCACACATTCATACATGCATCTTATATACAGAGTATCCACCAGATGAATCCTATTTCTCCGCTTTTATTTTTCTTTTGTTCCAATTTTCTCTTTTTGTTCCCTCTCTGTATCTCTGTAAGCTAACTCAAATAGTCTTTCAGGATGAAGTGAGGTATAAATAAACAAATACAGCTTTTAAATATCATCAGATTGTTTAACCTTTTATCTTAAAAACAACAGCAAGGGTCTTCATACTGTACTATAATTATATAAGATGTTACCATTGGGGGAAACTGGCCGAAGAGTACCTAGGACCTACCTGTACACTTTTTTGCAACTTCCTGCAAATCTATAAATTAAAAGTTAAAGACGTAAATAATCAGACAGTAAGCTTTCTAGGGGCAAAAAGATGTTATAATTTCTTGGTATTTCCCACAGTTTTGAACAAAAAGACCATATATGTGTCTATTGAGTCCATAAGTCCAGATAGAATCATTTAAAGCTAATAACATAGCTGTCTCTTCTTCTTTTTAAATCTAAGAAACCTTGTCCTTAGAGAAACTACTTGGGGATAATTCTAGTAAATCTATTTCCAGGAACACAGGACTTATCCTGGCCATTATACACTGACCATGCCACAATCTAAATACCAGAAAAAGGTCAAAGAAGGTTGTCCTCAGCTCTTGAGGAGATAAAAATTAAAGTAACTATTGTGTAATCTATCTAATGCTAGAAACTGTGGATGAAAAATATGACTTGACTGTCATAATGTGAGCAGCTACCCTAGAAAGTATAACCCAGCTCCCCAACCCAAAGTAAGAAATCACCAAGAAGAAGGGAAAAAGCCACCAATATACACTCAGTATATCACAAGTTCTAAGCAATTTGTTAGGTATTTTTGTTATCCCTGCCCCTCTTACCTGGTATCAGAGAATTCCAAACTAATGACATTGAGGACTTTCTCCCTCTTCCCACTGTAATAGTATTTCACAAAATCACCAAGCTTCATCTTGCAGTCAGCCTGGCGGGTCACATCTATCACATCAATCTCTTTGTCAGAACCTGGAGTAAAGAGATAGGGACCAGGGAAGACTGTCTTATCTCCTGACCAATCCTTAGAATGGTCTTACACTCAAAGTTTCTTCCTCAGACACTGTATGTTTATGTACACAAATCTTGGGGAGTGAGGATAGGAATCTATTATACTTTCCAAAGACCTATGTGCTGGGTTCAGGCTTGCTAGGACTATGAACTATCTGACAGAGTCTCATACATAGTACAGTCCACCTGCCTGGGCACTGTTTCCCCACTTCTTCTCTTCCTTTCTCCAAAAACTCATGCACAAATGACAACAGGCATGTGAGAACAAGAGTCAAAGGCTCTCTCTTCTCAACAGAGGACACAGACGCCAGGATCCCTAGAAGTCCCCAGGTAAAAAATGGGGCTCAACCTAGGGTTGTGTGTCTATTAAAATAAGAAGGAAGAGGAGACTAGGATTTTGGCTCTAGCTTTGCCAAAGAATGATTTTGGGTAAGGCATTTCACCTCAGGTTCTCAAGATGGCTAGAAAGGAAATGCAAAAGGTAACCTAGAGAGGAAAGCACACAGTGCTTTAAGAGAGTGAACAATGTTACAGCTAAGAGGATCTGTGATATCTTACCAACATAGTGTTCCACATCCCTAACAGTGAATGATGGTGAGGGCAGCGTCATCCCCAACCCATCCTTCTTCAAAACCAGGATGGGTACACTGAAGCTATTCTCTTCCAGGAATTCCACAGTTAGCTGACTTCCAGTGGGCTTCAGAATCACTTCATCAGAGCTGTGGGCAGGAGAAAAGAAAGCCTAAGCCTGAAGCTCTGCCCATTAAAGGCCTTACTGGATGCTACCACTCACTCTAGAGGTGGGGTCGTCTTGAAGGAACCTATTGTGAGCTGGCAACTAAGCATAAATCTCATGTGCCAGGGAAGAAAGTATGGCTAAGGCAAGAAGCCAGGCAGAGGTGGGGAATATCCTGTCAAAAGTGTGCTCTTTGCTGAATGACAAAGGAAGAAATCAGTCAATAGCTTGCTCAGGAAGAAAAGACATTATCTGACAAGTCTAGCTGATTTATTATAACTCAGAGAAGCATCACTCAATTTAAACAATTGACAAATAAAAAGGCCAGTATGGTGGTCACATCTATAATTCCAGCACTTTGGGAGGCCAAGACAGGAGGATCACTTGAACCCAGGAATTCGAGATCAGCCTAGGCAACATAGTCAGACCTCATCTCTACAAAAAACCAAAAAATTAGCCAGGCTTGGTGGTATATGCCTGTAGTCTCAGCTACTTGGTAGGGTGAGGAGGAAGGATCACATTAGTCCAGGAGGTCAAGGCTGTGGTGAGCCACGATCATGCCACTACACTCCAGCCTGGGGGACAGAGTGAGACCCCAGCTCAAAATAAAAGACAAGGAGAAAAGAAAGAGAAACCACTTTCTCTACATATACACTTAGTTAACTAGGAAACAGGATTTCTTTTTTTTTTTTTTTTTTTGAGTCGGAGTCTTACTCCATGGCCCAGGCTGAAGGGCAGTGGCTCGCTCACAGCCACCTCAGCGTCAACCCGCTGGGCTCCAGCGATCCTTCCATCTCTGCCTTCCAAGTATCTGGAACTACAGGCATGCGCTACCACACCTGGCTAATTTTTTGATCTATTGTAGAGAAGAGGTCTCACCAAGTTGCCCGGGCTGGTCTCGAGCCCGCAGGCTAAGGCAATCCACCCACCTCAGCCTCCCAAAGTGCTGGGATTACAGGCTGAGCCACTGAGCCTGACCAATTTCTTTTTTTTTTTTTCAATCTTTTTGGAGAAAAGATAAACTAGTTGACAAGTTGTGCTGGGACAAACACATTAAGTTCAATGTCTACCTCACTCTTTGCATAATTCTAGATGGTCCAAGGATTATATTGCAAAAAAAATAGCCATAAGAATAGTAGAAAAACATGAGAGAAACATGGCCAGGTAATCATTAAAATAGTAATAAATAAGGCTGGGCATGGTGGCTCATGCCTATAATCCCAGTACTTTGGGAGGCCGAGGTGAGAGAATTGCCTGAGCCCCTGGGTTCCAGACCAGCCTGGGCAATCTCTACAATAAACCAAAACAATCAGCCGGGCATGGTGGTGCATGCCTGTAGTTCCAGTTACTTGGAAGGCTGAGGTGAAAGGATCACCTCAGCCCAGTAGGTCAAGGCTGTGGTGGTCATAAGCGTGCCACTGCACTCCAGTCTGAGTGACAGAGTAAGACTCCATCTCAAAAAAAAATAGTAATAAATAAATTTAACCACATAAAAATTAAATTTTCTGCAAGAAAGTTGTTATAAATCAGTAAGAAATAGTAAAACAATAGAAAAATTGTCAATACAAGTAGGTAGTTAACACAGAAAAAATAAAAATGGTTTATAAATGTACACAAATTTATCCTCTTCATAATTAAAGAAATAAAGTGAAAAGAAGATTTCATTTTTTATCTTATCAGAAAGGAAAAAAAGTTTGATAATAAACTTTTGGCCAGGATAGAAGGAAATCAGCATCCTCACATATTGTCTGTGAGAGAATGAAATGATACAGCCATCTTGGAAACAATTGACAATATTGATAAATATTTTTAAAGCACAAGCTCTTCAACCTAATATTTTCACTTTTAGACAGCAATCTACAAATATACTCAACACATATGCAAAAACTTAAGTAGAAAGATATTCTCTACAACTTTTTCTTTCCTAATAGAAAAATACTAGAATCAATTTAAATATCCATCAATAGAGGATTGGATAAATAAATGGTATACTATGTAATGTAATACTAAACAACCATGAAAAAGAATGAAGAACATCTGTATGTGCTGATATGCACTGATCCCAAAGATATATAATTTAGGTTTCAAAAAAACAAAACAAGATGCAGAACAATATAGTGTTTCCATTTGTGTCAAAAAAATAAAGAGATATACAAACATATGTTTGCCTATGCAAAAACTATTTCTGAAAGAATGCACAAGTAATTGGATTACTTTGGAAAAGGAACCTGAGAGGCATAGGGTAGAGAGGAGACTCCAAGAAACAAAACAGAAAAACATTAAACTGAAGAAACATCTATTCCAAATAACACTTCAGTTACAGAAAATCTGAAAATAGTCCAATGAATTAAAAACCAAGCAAAAGAGAGTGCTTGGTTCATTAATTTTTTTTTTTTTTTTTTTTGAGTTGGAGTCTCACTCTGTCGCCCAGACTGGAGTGCAGTGGCCATCCCCGGCCACAGCAGCCTCAACCTGCTGGGTTCCGGCGATCCTTCCGCCTCAGCCTTCTGAGTAGCTGGAATTACAGGCACGCGCTACCACGCCTGGCTGATTTTTTGATTTATTGTAGAGATGAGGTCTCGCTGCCCAGGCGGGTCTCGAACCCGTGGGCTCAGGCAATCCACTCACCTCAGCCTCCCAAAGGCGCGGGATTACAGGCTGAGCCACCGAGCCTGACTTTGTTAATTTTTAAGCTCATTATTTTTGCTTAATTCAAATAACTATTTTTTTTGTTTTGAGTTAAAGTCTTACTGTGTCACCCAGGCTGGAGCACAGTGACACGCTCATGGCTACCACAGCCTTGACCTGCAGAGCTCAAGCAATCCTTCCACCTCAGTCTCCCGAGTAGCTGGTACTACAGACATGCACCACCATGTCCAACTAATTTTTTTTCTTTATTGTAGAGACAAGGTCTCACCAAGTTGACCAGGCTGATCTCGAACCCCCTGGGCTTAGGCAATCCTCTCACCTCCACCTCCCAAAGTGCTGGGATTACAGGTGTGAGTCACCACGCCTGGCCACAAATAACTTATTTTGAACAAGGCCAGCTTAATTTAAAAAAAAAAAAGAAAGAAAGAAACCTGGGCTTGGTGGCTCAGCCTGTAATCCCGTGCCTTTGGGAGGCTGAGGTGAGTGGATTGCCTGATCCAGC